GGTTTTATACACCTGTGGCCATGGAAGTGATTTGGAACACCTGAATTCAATGATGTGGATGGATGAGTGAATACTTTTGGCAATATAGGGTATATAGTGATGATTTAAATGTAATGTTTGCTGAACAGTAAAGTGATACAGTGCAGTAAAGGCAATCAATCAGTGCAAACTGAAAGAACTACTAAGAAACATCCACTGGAGTGAAGTCATGAATTAGGTTCTCCAAATTCTCCGAATTGAGTCCTCTGCCATAGGGAACTAATATAAGGAGTGCTGACAGGAGTCTGGGGTGACGTTTAAAGCTGTTTGTGTTCTTAAAACTCCCTTCCCTATGATAAAGTCGCAGTAATGTATGGCCTCACGTGGCTTACTACTTTTATAAAATGGCCAACTTAAAATATGATAAAGAAATGTCATCAGAAATATGATAAAATATATTTTTTATCAAAAAATAATTTGAGTAATAATAATAGGCCTAATTCTAAGCCTTCTAAGCCATCCTTCTGGGTCATGGGGAGAGCTGGAGCCCCTCCCAGCAGTCAATGGTTGGGAGGCTGGATACACCCTGGATAGGTGAGGTCATTTCATGATTTTTTAAACTTTTTTCATGTAACAATGAACATGTGTTATTTGATATATGGTATTTGGTCACCAAATTACCACCGCGAGTCTTATTTAGCACCAATCCAGCGGCGCCTCTCTTCTCACACTGGGGCTGAATCTCAAACAGCTCCCTGCTCCCTACATAGTGCACTACGTAGGAGTTTAAATACTGGATCCTGCAGCCCAACAGAGCAAAATACAGCTAAGAAACAGTCATTTGGGACTCAGACTCATCCACACTCGATAAATGATGCACTGTTTGGCTGTAGAGGCTAGAATTTCTAAACTTTCATAGCTAGAACACTATTAGGGAGTACAGAGCCGTTTGGGATTCAGCCTGAGTTTGACGTGCCTTCTGACTGAAACACGAACATTTGAAGCACGTAAGACATTCATGTTTTTTAGTTAATCATATCATGAGTGCTTTAATTCAAGACTGTGATATTAATAATTGAGTCTTTAGACTGTTGGCTCTTTTAGCCTGTTAGCTAGCTGACCAGCCTAGTTCTAGTTAAGAACATAAGTCACCAGCCCCTCAGTTTCAACAAAACATGGGTTCTTTCTTCATCATTCTACTTATAGGTTCTTACTTTGTCAGAGACTCGACACTCGACTTGGACTCTCACCTCAGAGATTCGAGTATCGAAACTGACTATCGCCTCAGAGACCCAAGACTCGACTCAGACCTCAGAGACTTGACACTTGTCTTGGACTCTCACCTCAGAGACTTGAGACTCAACTCAGACTTGCACCTCAGAGACCCGAGACTCAACGTGGATTCTCACCTCAGAGATTCGAGCCTCGAATCTGACTCGCACTTCAGAGACTCTAGACTCGACTTGGACTCTCACCTCAGAGACTTGAGACTTGACTCAGACTCACATCTTAGAGACTCAACACTCGAATCAGACTTGCATCTCAGAAACTCGAGACTCGATTCGGACTCGCATTTCAGAGATCAGAGACCTGACTCAGACTCACACCTCAGAGACTCGTGTCTCAACTTGGACTCACCCTTCAGAGAATTGAGACTCAATCCGGACTCACACTTCAGAGACTTGAGACTCGACTCAGACACAAAGATCTTTCTTGTAGTATTCAATGTTTAGAACAGGCCCATAAACAGCTCTGGTGGAAGCAGATCATAGTCACCCTAATGAAGATATGAATTCTTGCTTCTGCCCTGAGATGTTTCGGATAATATAATAATAAAAAAATAAAAAACAGTTAATAAAAATGTTAAATGATGCCATAAGAAAAGATCTGAGGAACGCAAAGTAAAATCTGCTTATAGTAGAAAGTATTTTTGTGTTTGTTGATGATCTTAGACATTGTTGTGTAGCAGATTCTGTTAGACAGTCTGGCACATAGGAAGGTGCTAGAACATTAATATCACATAAATAATCAAATAAAAGGAATTGTTTTGTGTTGAACAGGAAGCCAGGTAAGTGCTACCAGTAATGGAGGGATATTTTGTAGTGTTTCCACATTTTTGTCAGAATGCTTTCTTCTGAACTCTGTACAAGCTGTATCTTGTCTACTTTTGACTAAGCCAGCGATGAATTACAGCAATCCAAACAGCAGCAAATCAAAAGCCTGAGTCAACTTCTTAGCATCATGCCCTATGGACGTTACAGAGGTTTCTAAGAAACAAAAACATTTTTATTACTTGCTCAGTGTGAGACTTAGTTTCAGATGTAGTACATCCTAGTTTGTTCATAATTGTCACCCTGTGTGCTGCTAATTAGTTTTGTCTTCACTAAATTTCAAAAAATTGCTGTTTATCCAATTTATTATACAGAACAAACATTTAACACACTAATCAACAGCACGTATTTAATCATGTGCAACAGAAATGTAAAGCTGTGTTATCTGCATATCTATGGAAGTTGACTATGGCTGAGTGGTAGCCTATATAATGAATAAAGAGCAGCCTAATGATAGACCCTTGTGGTACACCAAAGCAAATATCATTCTTTTGAAATCTGCAAATTTGCAGAGCAACAAAACTCTGTCTAGAAGTCTGATAGCTGGGTAACCTCATTATGATGCTTCCAGATAGTCCCGTCCAATTTTTAAATGCAAAAGTAAAAAACGTTGGATGCTAACTATCAGATTAGCACACAACATTCTGAAACACTATTGCTACCTGTTCATGGACGCTGAATACTATGAATGCAAGCTCAGCAGATTACATTAGATGTATACAGGATGAAGTAATGCTAGTGATGCTAGTAATGCTAGTTTTTGGGTGATAATTGAGAGAGAGAGCTGTTTAAGAGTTGTATAAACCTGCTTGGAAAAGGGTGCAAGTGTTTACCCCAAATACGGTACCTGAGGTTTTCTAGATGCTACTGGAACTTTGCCAGGTTCTACTGACAGATAAGGGAGCTTTTTCACACCAAATGCTCAGTGTGGGTTTAGTAAAGCAAAGGTGGTTATACATAAAAAAGGCTCAAGTATGGTGAAGGATCTGTGAAATTTTAGGACTATTTTTTTCTCCAAAAGTTCTGGGAACCTTGTTAGGATTCATAGTGGACCTCAGGAAGTACCAGGAGATTTGAAATAGAATATGACAAAAGGCTAAAACTGGATCATGGTTTGATCTTTCAGCAGGATAATGATCCAAAAACACATAAAAAAGGTTAAAAATCACCACACATTCAATATTTTGACATCCCAGTCCTCTGACCTAAGCCCCACTGAAAACCTGATGGGGAGGAGAGGCTGAAGGGATGGACCACAAGAGAGGATCTGGGACCTTGTTCTAGAGAGAGGTTCTAGAGAGATTCTGTACTGAAGTGGTCTCAGATTTCTTGCTCTGTTCTACGTTGTCAATACAAGGGGAAGATTCATTGCTGTTATGTTGGCAAAAAGTATTACCTTTTGTTTTTATGACCACATTTACTTCAATTAAAATTATAACCTTTTTAAATATTTGTTTTACCAATTTCCTCCAAGGGTACTGTGGCATGAGCCTGTCTCACAGGCCCCAGTGAGCTGGAAGAAAGGTAGGGCCTGAATCCTGAACACCACTGAGGGACGCGAGTGACAGCAGGAGGAGGACGTCAGCTGCCAGAGCGGGAATGACGATGATGGCCACGAAGACGGGAAGCAAGTCCCAAACTCCGTCGCCCATGCCCTGCCTTGTGGTCATTACTAGGGTCCAGCGATGCCACAGGTGTATAATTGCGGCGCTGACTGTACATATGCACAATTGTAGTAACATTCATGGATGACATCCTCTGTTAAACTGGCACTCTGAATTTACCTCCTGAAAAAATTACTGTTGTCTTTCAGTTTCCTGTGGTGACTGCAGAAGCACTAGGTGTGCTTTCCCTTCTTCTTTACTCTAATCCACTTTACATCTACAGTAGAACAGATTGAATGTATATGCATCCATATTAAATCAGACATGGAGGTACATGTTTGTTTGGTTGTATTTATTAATTTATTAGGTTAGTTTGGCTTTTCTGTGCATTAATGCTTGTTTATTAATTTGGCATATACTTAAGCTGAATAGGCTACAACATTGATTTTCCTGCTGGTCCAAGTTGGTCTGGTGCTGGTCTAAGATGGGTTAAACTGGGTTACGCTGGTCTCCACTGGTCTAATCTGGTTTATGCTGCTATGATACTGGTCCAAGTCAATGGTTTTAACTGGTTTATGCTGGCCTAAACTGGTCTGGTGATGGTCTGTACTGGTCTAATCTGGTTTGTGATGGTATGGTACTGGTCCAAGCTGGTCAGTGTTGGCTAATGCTAGTCTGGTGCTAGTTTATGTTGGTCTGCTGCTGGTGTAAATTGGTTTATGCTGGTCTAGTGCTTGTCAAAGTGGGTTTATTCTGGTATAAGCCGGATGTACGCTAGTCTGTTGCTGGTCTACAATGATTTATGCTGGTCTGGTGCTGGTATAGCTGATCATCTCGCATGGTCATGCTAGCTGGCAATGAAACTGGCATCCAAAACGCATCATCGCTGTCCCAAAAAAGTCTCCATTTATGTCAATGAATAGACCAATTGAAAAAGCTCCAAAACTACTTGGAATAAAACCTGTTCACATTAACTTACATCTAATGTTAAGAATGTTTTTGCCTTCTTCAATAAACCTAAGCTGGTTTTACTGGAGACAAGCTATGCTGGTTTTTCTAGCAGAGTTAGCTAGCTAGCATTTCTAAACCAGCTGTTTACTTTCTACTTATCAATTAGATTTTATCCCTAAAAACTACATCCAATCTATGTAAGTGTGGCCTTTCACACATGTACAAAAACATCATTAGAAATGAACAGCTCACTCGAAATGTAGGTATAATGACATAAACTGAGTTGTGAAGGGGATTCACACCAGCATTCTGTAAAGCTTGTCCACCTTGCTAAATAACACATTTGTGGAACATCTCATGCTGATAAATTTTGGCTGGCCCGTACTGAGACTTTTGCATAGGTCACACTGTCCAAAGCAGGTGCTGAGGTTCTCGCAGTAGATGCTGAGGGCTCTGCTTCATGTCTAAGGCTCATGCACTGCAGGTCTTCTTCCTGTGGAGAGACAAAATAGTCCAACTTTTATCTAGTTACTTTCATCTGCATAAAACAAGCAGTTAGTTATAATCTCTTGTATGATCAGACTTTAACAATAACAGGTGTTCTAGATAGTTTATCATTAAATAGAAAACGTTTCTGGTACCTCAGTTGTGTCTCTGGTGTCACTGCGGCAGCTGCATGAAGTTGACTTTCCTGAAAGACAGTTCGGTTCCCCGGATTTCACTCAGAATTGTCAAAATTATAAAATAAACATTTTTTTTTCACTCTGCATATGTTGAAAATACAATGTCAATTGGTCCAGTTGGGAACATTAAATACGTTTTTCCAGGTTAAAAGTTCATATTTGTACCTTTTCATAAGGTTAAGATTAAGAGACCCTTATTAGTCCCACAACGGGGAAATTTCACCTCCGCATTTAACCCATCCATGCAGTGAAACACCACATACACACTAGTGAGCACACACACACTAGGGGGCAGTAAGCACACTTGCCAGGAGCGGTGGGCAGCCCTATCTGCAGCGTCCAGGGAGCAGTTGGGGGTTAGGTGCCCTGTTCAAGGACACCTCAGTCACGTACTGTCGGCTCTGGGGATCGAACTGGTGACCTTCCGTTCACAAGGCCGGTTCCCTAACCAATCCCGAATGTTTTAAACTGAACAGTCAAATAAAAGCCTGGAGACGAGACGGGGTGTGTGGAGTCAATACAACTTAGAGAATATCATATCAGTGGATTATGGTTCAGTTATGTTCCCTGACTAAAGGTACTGAGATGTACCCTTGAGGGTCCCACCCCAGTGACAGGTAGTACCTTTATTTCTGAGATTGTGGAGCAACGTGATTGAGAGTCTAAATGAATGAATTATTTTAGGTAACATTTTCTTTTACAGTCAGTGAGTTCTAGATATTAAATTGGTAAACATGTGGAACAATCTCTAAAGTGTTGTATAATCATTTGAGGTAAAGTAAGAGTAGCCAGACACTGTAACTAAATTATACAGAAATACTTAATAGGTTCTGACCATTAAACTGACAGATGAGTTTATAATAGTTCTCAAACATGAATACTAAATTTAGATTAGGGTTAGAATTAACAATGAACAATAAAATTAACTATGTATCTAGCTTTGGTTTCCAAACTATATTGAGTTTATCAAGTTATAAAGTTATATACACTGACAAAGATACTGTGCAGGTCATTTTTTTGTTCATCAAGATATAAACAATGTAAATCCTCAAAGGTACAACAGTACGATCCAACTGAGAACCTTAAATAAGCTTTTCCCAGGAATAAGGCACATATATGCACCTTTCCATAAGCTGATGTTTTCAATCAGAACAATCAAACAAAGACTTGAGTTAAGATAAGGTGTGTTTAGTCAATATAACTTAAAAAATAATTATAACCTTAATACAGGGTGTCTCCAAAGTAAGGAAACACTCATATAAAATGAAAGCAGTCTGGCAGACAGTGATCCAACTTTAGAAATCAAGAAATAAATGTTCCATGTTGTTGACATAGCTTAACATGTTCACCCATCCCCCAACCCCCAACCTCCCACACCCCCCAGCCCCAACAAACCGTTTTCATTTTATATGGGTAATTACTAACTTTGGAGACCCCCAGTAGATTACAGTACGATTATGTTCCCTAACTAAAGGTGCTGTTCCGGAGTGCTGAATTTGGGGAATGCGGTGAGTTAAAAAGTTAAGTGGAGCTACCAAGAGATTTTACTGGAGTGGTCAGTCTACCCAAACAGGAAGCATGATTCAATGATGAAAGCTGGTTCGTGTCTGCTGTTAAAGGTATGAAACATTGGTTCTGCTTTTCAAACGTTCCCAGAGGCAAAAGATAATATACTTAAACACAACTGTTTGTTATGTCTGAGCAGGAAAACAACCAGTTGGATGATGATAAACTGATATGTTGACTATAAGTGGTGATCAACAACCTAAATCCTAACCTTTTAACGTTTTTCAAAACATGACTTTTTAATCTTTCAAAAAATAGAAGCATTACTTACATAAATACTGACTTTGCAAGACTGGATTTTGCAGGGAACTCCCTCCTACACACCTACATGCGACCCACTAAATGGGGGGGTGCGTTAATGTCCGTGGGCATGCCGGAGCACTCTAAATGCAGCATAAAGGTACGGCCTCAGTGACAAGAGGGGTACATTTAGGCCCCAGTGACAGTTTAATTCCTTTTTTTCTGAGAGTGTAGTAACAGCACCCTGAATCATGCATGCTTAAAATCAGTACTGTTTTCCATCTGTTAAATGCTGGTCCACTAATGTGGCTGTTTTCTCTGTGCAGTTTAAGACAAAGTTAATTACTTAGAAAACTGTGCTATAAAAGAAAGCTATGTTTTTTTCTGGTTTTGGTCTGTTTTTTTCTGGGTGTTTACCATTTTACTAGAGATTTTTATTATTTACATTCCTGTTTAAATGTGCGACATTCCAGTGAATTAGATCTAATTATTTATTTGATCTAGATATTAAAGAAGCATTTTCTGCTGTTGGGCATTTCAGTGTAATTTGGTTAAATTATCTTGGAACCCGTCATCATTTTACACTCAAAAAACATAGAACTGACCACTGTACATGTTAAGAATATAAATCAAGTTGATGTTAATTGAACTGACATTTTTAAAACGTACTCAAAGTAGAAGTTTTGAAGGAATGTAATCATCCCAAACATTAAATCAGCCACTGTGATTTCAGAACTGTGTTCTTGAGTCTTGTGGGATTCCATCGGTTCTCACAAGACGCATTCCCAAACAAAATAAAATGTATGGTGCTTAAAATAGGACACATCCTGCATTACTCATCTCCGTTGATTTGGGAACGTTTTTGATTATTTCCTGAGAATAACTGTCCAGTCTCAACATTGTTAGTGTTACCACATTCTCTGTTGCTGAGTGTGTTTGTTAACTGTCTGGGCACCACAGACCACTTTTAAACCAACTCTAGTAAGATAAGTTGGATCAACGTAAGTGAATTCAACACTAGTTAATCAAGTTCAATGAACTTCAATGGGTTGACAGCAGATTAAGTTCAGCTAATTGTAGTAATTTATATTGGATTAACAAAATTGCCTTATTTTGAAAGAAAATCAATTAATTTAAGCTGTGCTGAAATACATTCCATAAAGTTTAGGTAAAGAATTTTTTTTATGAGCGTACCCAGAATAATTATCTAGAACTCTGGAGCTTGTACCTCATCATACCTAGTTAAAACCTAGAACATACAAAACTGTAAAACTTGTTTAATTTTTTTTTTTAATTATTTATTTATTAATTTATTTATTATATATCTTTGGAAAACTGTTCCCAGTCAGAAATGAGAAGCTTCTAGGACTGTGTAAATAGTTCTCACCTTGCGTTCTGATACAGAACACACAGATGCAGATGATGTTCATCAGGACACAGAACATGCAGACACACATTAGGATTATAATCATGATCCCGGGGAGTCCACATCCTGCAGAGAGCCGGGAACGCTCAGCCACGTTAACAGGTATGTCAAACTCAGGAATTCCATCATCTGAAATACAATAACATGCACAGACAGACATAGGAGTGAGGCGATGATGAACCTCTGCTCTGTAAAATCAAACATGAAACTACTGGACAGCTTTTTCACATCGCCTTTTGTTTTAGCCGCACCCTGACCACACATGCAATCATTCACACCCAAATGAGAGTGTATGTTTGACTATGTGTGTCTCTTGGAAATGACAAATGCTTTACTTGAAGCAATTTTACAGCTACCTTATAATTCATATATTTATATATTCATAAATGTATATGAATATGTAACAGACAATAATAATGCATGCAGTCTGTGGGGTCCAAGCATTATTTTGCAAGCAGGTCCCAGCATGGCAGGTTTTGTCCACCAATCTGTCCATCAATGTTAGCAAGCTGACAAAATGTGATGCAGTGAGCAAGAATTGTAAGTTTGGACACAACAGCACAAATATTTCTTTTTCTTTTTACTGAAAAAGTAAACATTTATATAAATCAAGATTTGACACCATAACTATCACATGATTGACTGGTGTACTGCCTTCCTCAGCCCAATTCAGTAGAAATTTGGTGAGTTTTAAAAATCCTTCCACACAATTTAATTGATGTACTGCAGCAATTTTATATTAAAAATTAAATGTTTTTCAATAATGATTTACTTTCACTCACATTTGAGTACCATTTCAAGCTAACAGCGTGAAAATCCTAGGACTAGTTTGAAATGTGCTCATTGTTCTTGAAATGCATCATTTATATCCAGTTAAAAAATTCCAATAGCTAGAAGAGAGCCCATCATGGACATACCAATCAGGGTTTGAGGTGACAGACCAATGCTAAGCCTGTCAAATGCCTACTGAAAGCTGATTGGCCAATGGATGGTGGACAATCTTAAAAACCCTTATAAATGCATGTACAAAAAGCCAATTTTCAAATTCATTGCCCAACAGTTACAGTGCCCCGTTTTACAAAAGATATTAGCACTAACCTGCAAAGTTCAGTCTGATGGCTTTTCCAAAATAAGTGGTATTTGAACCATTTCGGCCTCCGCAGTAATACAGCCCTAAATCAGTCTCATCAACACCAATAATCACTAAACTGATGTTTTCTGTTGTATCATAGTGACGTTCATCCACATTACAGCTGAGGAAAAATGATTTATTCAGTTTATCTTTTCTAGCAGATATGAGCAGCTTCATCTTCTCTGAGCTCTGGTGATACCACGATATCTCATCATTCGCAGTGATGTCACAGTGCAGGGTGATGTTTTCTCCAGGATGGACAGATCTGAGGTCAGATGAAGTTCTCTGAAGGAGACACAGTCTGAAGGTTCCTGAAAGAATAAGAGAATAGTACGACAGCTGGTTCATCACTCTCCAAACTAAAACTGCACAATCAGAATCGGCCAAGATCGGAGCTCTTTATTAAACAATTAATTATTTAAATTTGGGCAGTTTTATGAGCTGAGTAAGGTGAGGCAGGTAAGTGCATTTGTGCTGTATTTGAATGCACCTAAACCAAAATGTCATAGTCTAACCATGCAAGACTCTTGTTAAAAAACCATGATAAGTGCGTTTCCACATTCAGCATCTTCTTCAGTCTCACTGACCAGGAGTCAAATTACAGAAACATTCTATCTTTGTAAGTTAAGTTCTGACAGGGTCAAGCTAAGATTTTTTCACAAATTTGTTTTAAATCTTAATTAAGGAGGCATGTCTTACAGCATTTTATCTCAAAATAATCAAGGTTCAATAACCAACTGTTATCGCAGCTTCCGATGCATGCACAGCTGGAACATAAACACGTAATCAAAGTAACCAATGTAAACAAAACTTCTGATTACCTGGAAGTGGGAAAAAAAAAAAAACTTTAGAATATTTTGATCCCCACTGCATAAAGGGGCATTGCTGCTCCATTTCCAAAAAAATCTCTCACAAGTGAAACCACTATTTTACAATATAATTACATATAACACATATAACATTATGCTGGTTGTAGGGAAACTGTTATGCTGCCTAAAAGGGATATCATTGTATTTTCAGTAGAATAACAAACAGTAGAAACAGACGGTTAAAACAGAAGTTAGGACCCTGTTGGGGTTTATCCTGAAGTGAGGACAGCGTTTAGAAGGTTTAGTCTAGTTAGGATGTTTGTGTGATACGGTCCCAGGAGAATCAAAGAATTTTGGAATTTACATCTTGCTATGGCGTGTTATACTGCCACCCACACATTCCGGATGATAGTATTGTGTATGTATTTTACACCTCCAATACGCATCCAAAATACTATTCATGACCTTCACAGTGAGATTATTCACTAACAGCTGTTTACTATTCTTTTCAATTGAGGAATCTGCAAATACTCACCAAACAGAAGCTGTGTCAGAAACACAAACAGGAACTTGGCCATTTCTCACTGAGATCCTCCCGTAATCTGTGGCTGTTTCAGATTGTTTATACTTTTCATCACTGTGGCATAGTCAGATACAAACTTTCGGTTCCTAGACTGAGTTTCAAATCAGTTTTAAAGTCACTGCTCCCTGTTCTTTTAGAATTTCCAATAAACCAGTGGCATCACCAGTCTTACCAGGCCAAAAGCATGCAGAAGAACAGCGTCATTCATCTACTCATTCATTTGTTCGTTCATTCATGTCTAGCTCTATTTAATTAGTTCAGTGGTTAGCAGAGAGGGAGCCTCATGGATTTCTGAGAACTAAAAATAAATGTCTGTAATTTTGAATGAATGTTTATTTAACAGAATTACATTTACCGCATTTGGCAGACGCTCTTATCCAGAGCAACTTACAAAAAGTGGTTTGTTTTCTACTATTTTTGCGAGTTACAAATAGGTTAGAGAGAAAACCAGTCCTGAGTTCAGATACTGCTAGAAACAAAAGCCCAAGTTGATACAGAGAGAAAAGGGAACAGAGTTAAACACAGCAGTGCAATACATTACAGAGAATACTTAACTCAGTGCTCATTTAAGTGCTGCATAAAGAGGGGTGTTGCAGGGACTCTGCTGTTCAGACAGCCAGTGGGAGTTCGTTCCACTACCTGGGCTCCAGGACAGAGAAAAGTCTTGATGCTTGTCTTCAATGCATCTTGAAGGATGGCGGGTCAAGCAGAGCTGTACTTGAAGCTTGAAGGGCTCGTGGTACAGTCCGAGTTTTGACCATGGCCTTCAGGTAGGGAGGGGCTGGTCCATTTTTGGCTTTCAAAATCTGATGCGTGTGGCTACAGGAAGCCAGTGAAGCTCAAATATGTATATACATATATGTATACATACATGTTGAAAGTAGCTATTTGCTATTATTTGTGATTATAACAGTTATTTTCTGTCATTTTACTGAAACCTCACCCCGATTATGGTTATAATGGACTATTCCATGGTGTTCGGTGATGACACAAATGTGTAAAGACAGACTACTTTGAAAAAAAGCAATAATGTGATAATCTATATCTGGGTCATTTAATTAAAATTCAATAAGGTCCAGTTAGACAAAATTTCCTCAAGCGAAGGTCCAGAACATTATAATGTCTAAATGGCATCATGATTCAATTCAATTAGAGCCGCCATGTGAAATAACTTCACTCTGACTCACTTTCTTCTCTGACTGCTGTGTCTCGCCTCATCCCTCCCCTGTGTGAGCGTCACTCACTTGAGTCTCAGAGCTCATGGTAATGCACAGATCTGATTGGCTGAGTAGCATCAAGGGTGATATTTACAACACATGTGGTTGGTCTGTGAGTTTCCCGGCCGCTAAAGCCGTACGGTAATGTCTAGAAAAGTTACGCGATTAAAATATGACCACCCCGTCAAAATTAAACAATTCTCCATAGTTTATTAGTTATAGGTCCAGGTCCGCATAGAACAGCGTCTTGGTCCAGACTCGGACTGTGGTCCACCTATTAGTGATCTCTGACCTACATTATAGAGAGGAGGCTCTTCACTGTGATGTTCTGGGAGAGAAAATCAAATAAAGTGACCCAAGTGCAGCAGAGAAACGTAAAAAGAGGGAGGAAAGCTAAAGGTTTGTCGATACACTCCCACAGCAGACTTTATCAGACAGCAGAGCGCTGCACAGGCTCAGCAGACCCACACAACGCTAGTGTTAGTGTCAGTATTACAGAATGTTGGTTGAGATCGCTCCAGTGTTGGAGTGATTACTCAGAAATGTATCTTTTCAAATTACCAATTCTTTCTCTCAGAAAACAATGATATAATGTTATTGATCACTTCCTGCAACAATGAATCTCATTACTCGTTACTTCACTAAGTGTATTTCTTAAAACCCCCTCGTCTTTACACCCTGACTTACCGTCCAGCTTTATGATTTGTTCTAATCCAACGTTTCTTTTCTTTTTGCAACTTTTAATAGATTATTTGTCCTTGTATCTGGGGTCATGAATGTGAACAGTGCAGTGTGAACTTCACAAGCAGTCTGTCAGAGCATCTTATCAGGAAACTGATGAATAACAAAAGATGAATCTTTACTGACTGATTCTAACAAATAGGTTAGAGAGAAAACCAGTCCTGAGTTCAGATACTGCTAGAAACAAAAGCCCAAGTTGATACAGAGAGAAAAGGGAACAGAGTTAAACACAGCAGTGCAATACATTACAGAGAATACTTACCTCAGTGCTCATTTAAGTGCTGCATAAAGAGGGGTGTTGCAGGGACTCTGCTGTTCAGACAGCCAGTGGGAGTTCGTTCCACTACCTGGGCTCCAGGACAGAGAAAAGTCTTGATGCTTGTCTTCAATGCATCTTGAAGGATGGCGGGTCAAGCAGAGCTGTATTTGAAGCTTGAAGGGCTCGTAGTACAGTCCGAGTTTTGACCATGGCCTTTAAGGGCCACTGTCTGAACTGCTGGCGCGCTGAAAGAGGAAAGGGTGGGGCTTGGAGCAGGAGCAGAGAGGCAAGGCTCAAGCTGGAGATAGTGGGGTGCTCCATTGCAAGTAAATTTTCGTGTATCCAGAGCCATCCTTATGAAATATGAGGTAAAAATGCAAAAGCACTGACCAATATAGTTTTATCTGTCATGTTAGCTATGGTGGATGCCTATTTTGCCTTTTAAAAAAAGGTAACTTAGAAGAACTACAGCAGGATGGGGGCAAATTGCTTTGTTTCAGTGAGGTGGTGTGTTCCCCATGTTCAAGTCCTGTATTTTTGGTTTACAGAAGCTGTTTTGTCCAATTTCACATGATGACATGCTAGGATTTCGTTTGAGTAAGGATCTGTAAATCAAGGTGAGCTTATGAGAAAAGATCAATATAGTTCTGAAAGTGGTAACAATGGTGAAAGGTTATTAATGTTATTTCTCCATTCTCTGTTAATAGTGCCACTACCATTCACTGTGCTGTGTTCTGATTGGTTTTACATTGTGTACCTTTTTTATTTTTATGCCTATTTTGAGTAGAATTGCATCCAGAGCTGTTTAGAGTCTACCAAAAAGTTACACTGCAGTGGCAGTAAGCCTAAACTCAGCAGGGTACTGTTGTGTGCTAGGACTTGTAGATTTTGGTCAGCAATACCACAGATATTTGATGAGCACGGGACATATAGACTGTGTAGCTGAGCAGTGCTGAAACTTGTTAATTATTTTATTTATTTACTTTTGAGGCTAATTGTAAGAGGCCAGTGATTTATTGTTGCTCATTTATTTTAATTTGATTTATAATAAATATACATTTTCTGTATTTCATAAAATCCCTAGACTGGGATCTATCAGAATAAAATACCCCAAAAAAAAAAAGTATTTTGTCATTTGGTGTGCGTCTTTTTCCCCGGTGACAAAAATTGGTACCAGAAGTGGGGTATTCTGATAGTTTGGTTAGGTTTCTTGACTTATACACAATAGAACACAGTACAGTTGTTTGGTAGTGGTGAAGGATCGCCGGCTCGGGAGGGAGAGAGTGTTACCAGGACCTGGTGGTGGCTGTGGATGACTCAGAGACCAGACGTCGGACTGCAGGCGAAGTTGCAGAGACGGTGGAGTGGAGGGCTCATTGCTGCTGGCTGCTGCTGTATTGATCCAGAGACTTTATCCTTTCCCCGGCCTTAAGCACAGACTATTTTTTTTCTAGAATGTCAGACCATTCTGAAGAAGAGAGGGACTCTGTTGAAAATGAGGTTGAGTTAGAAGAACTGGACATTCAAAAACAAATTGGTGAACTGAACAGAAAGCATGCTGTAGCAATGGCAACCATTGATTCCTTGAATAGGGTGCCTGATAGAACTTATGTGTATGTGCCACGAGAACATCACATTGCTCCATTTACTGGTGATTTTGATAAAGATGGGAGGCTGGTAAATGATTTCATTGAGGAAACTGAACGCGTCTTGCGTGCACGCAGTCAGTCTCCTCATGAGCAGTATGATTTTGTTCTCTCTTTGTTGCGAGGGGCTGCATTAGAAGAGATACGTTTACGCAGTGATAGTGAAGTGGACCAGGTTAGCGACCTGTTCACCTACCTTCGGGAAGCTTTTAGTGATAGGCGTAGTGGTGCCCAGCTATTGCATGACTTCTACAGCCGCAAACAAAGAGAGGGCGAAGGCTTACTGGAATACTCACATGCGTTATCTCAAGCGCTTAACCATGTACGGAGACAAACCCCTGATGCCGTACCCAATATGAGGCTAGTATTGAGAGATCAGTTTGTTGAGGGGGTTCAAGACCCTGCACTTAAGAGGGAGCTTAGAAGGTGGGTTAGAAACAAACCGGATTCCTCAATGGTAGAAGTACGGGAGGAAGCTTACCTATGGAATATTGAAGAGCCTACTCTAAATGCAAAGCTGTCCAGATCTAGAAGTAAAGGGCCTGGTCCTGAAAGAGGGGCTTGCTGTGCTGTAGTAAGTGCCGGTGAACCCAAGCCCTTGACTTTGGATGGCATCATGCAGGTGATTGCTGAGCAGGGAAAGCAGATTAGAGAGCTAACTCGGGCAGTAAGGGACTTGACCACTCAGAAAACAATCTCCCTAAATAAACCTGTCACTAAGGTGCGGGCTCCACTTAGATTTACAGATGATGGCAAACCTATCTGTCTGAAGTGTCAGCAAGAGGAACACATTGCAAGAAATTGTCCCCAAAAATGGCAGACTAAAAATCAGGTCTTCACAGATACTCAGGGAAACGAGATGCCCCAGTTGCTGTGAGTCGGGCAATTCAGGGGCAAGCTAAAGACTCATCCAAAGCCAGTCTTAGCCAAGGTCAGGTACTGAAGCGTGCAGTGGGAACTTGCCCTACCGTAGAAGTTAAGATTGGGAATGTTCCTGTTTCATGTTTACTGGATACAGGCAGCCAAGTAAGCACTCTTACAGAAGAGTTCTTCCGCCAGCAGTTAGGTGGAGAGGAGATGGATATGCTTTCAACCTCTGGCTGGCTTAAATTAACTGCCGCCAATAGATTGG